CCTCCTTCTCCTCCTCCTCCTCCTCCTCCTCCTTCTTCTTCTTCTTCTTCTTCCTTTCTTCTTCTTCATCTATAAACATTAAAAGTGAATCTCTGGGGCCAGTTCATAGCCTAGTGGTTAAGAAGGTTGGATCTCATATGACCTATCGATAACGGTACAAACTGACTCCTGCAGTTTGAAAAGACAAATCAAGCATGTGTGTATGCATGCTCCAAATCCTTACAGCATGGAGAAATGAAGAAGGGATTGTAGCAGAACCACCCTTACTGGGGGTTGCTTTCTCCTTCTCCACGCCACGCCTCCCCCTTTCTTCTACTCGTGAGTGCATGCACCGTTTGGAAACTAAAAAGAAAAATAAATAAATGCTTTGTAAAATTAATCCCTTTCACTGTGATAACCATTAAGAAATCCCTCTTCAACACAAAATTTATCAACTCTCCTCCAATATTACTTTATGTATGGTTTTTACAACACTTATATATTCTGGCTAGATCATATTTTTTTTCTCTAGAATACTGGATTTTTGATAACATAAAACATATTCTGCTCATTTTTTTTATTCCAAAGACAGGCACAGTAATTGGCACATGATAAAAACTCATTCTTCATAACAGTAAATGTATTGATAGATGGAAAAATGATAGATAATAGATAAAGAAATATAGATTGAGTTTAAAGGAGAAAATAAACAATGGGCAAAATTATTTCCTTAAACACAAGGAGATGATTACTCTCTCATTAATAAGAGAAGAAGGTGGGTAAGGTATAAGAAAAGGAAAATAAAGATTCTTAGTATATATCATACATTTTGCTAACCATTTTAGATATAATTTTATATAATGTCAGGAAAATTTAAGATAGATATTTTTCTCTTTTTTTCAATAGAAATGACCCAGCAACTTAAATAATGAATTTATGGTAAGTAGTTCAAAACTCAAAACCAGATTTACTAACTTTGACGTCCATTATTTTTTATTAAACTACAAACCAACAGAAAGGCTAAGTTTATAAGATAATTTAAATTGTTAGATGTTGTAATTTCCTTCTTTTGAAGGACAAAATTTTAGTATTGTATAGGATACATATCTCTATGGTTCAAATGAGGAATAGAGGCAACAAATAAGTAAAAATTAGAATTGTGTTCTCTCAATTTATCTTAAAAATATTTGTAAAATTCAAGTGTGTTAACAATAGAGGTGAATGTCTATGTGATTTTTAAATTTTTAATTAGTGCATAATAATTGTATTTATTTAGGGGCACAGTATGATTGCTCTGTATTTAAATACAGTATGCAATGATCAAATCAGAGTAATGAGCTTACTCATTCATTATTACTTTGTGTTGGTAATATTAAAAATCTTCTTTTTCAGCTATTTAAAAATTTACAATGAATTGTTAACTGTGGTTGCCTTACTATACTATAGTACATTAGAACTTATTTATCTTATTTGTAGTTTTGTGTCCATTAACCACCAACTCCCTATCCTCTCCTCTCGATCGTCCCAGACATATATTTGAATTGTGTGTCTGTTTCTATGTGTCCATACACTCTGGCGTCAAATTTAGGACAAAGTTTAATGCTTCAGCTCCTCAAAATTTTCTCTGTACTGTCTACTAACCAGTGGAACAGCAAGTGCTTTCTGTTTTCAGGTAAAAGTTTCCATCTGACTAGCCAGACAGAAGGTAGCATGTGCCCATTTGTATACACACAGCTAGACGAAATGATTTAGTTAAGATCCACCTAGTTCAATCCCCTAGAGATCCAAAGATCAACATCCTTGCTTTCTGGCATCAGTAAATATATAGGCCTATCTTCGTCTTTTAGTAGCTCCTACCTTCTGCTCATTTCTCAATACCAGGTTCTACTCCTTCCACCTTCGAGAGTTTGCCCTGATAGTTCTAGGACATATTAAATGAAAACCTCTGCTTCTAAATCTCTGCACCACTTAATGCTTGGACCTTTTATTTTATACTTAATAATTAGGAATAGCAGATATTGGTAATTTACGTAATCAAATCTTATCCTTTTTTCTGCCTGGAATGTGAGTTTCCTGAAACTTTAGCTTGCATGTTTTTCATCTCTTATTGCTAGCTACTGAAACAGAATCTGGAACAAAAGAAACTTCAATTAATAAGGTTGATTGATTGATGAACAATCATGACCATGAGAAGAGAGTTAAGAATCCTCTTTCTTCTTCTCCTTTTATTTTTCCTCCTGTCCTCTACCTCCCTATTTCAATTTCTTCTGGGATCCATTACACCCCTCCATTTCTTCATCATACCTTATTTGTAGTTCATATCTGTTCTTTGCTTGTTATCTGTTTTCTCCTTCTACCATTTCTCAGTTTTTAAAGCTTTCCCCATTGCTCTCTTCCTATACATGCATTCTTCTTACCTGATCAC